TCTTCACGGCGGGCTTGCCCTGCTTGGTATGCATAGCGACGCCCCCACCCCCGGGCGGTAGAGGTACCTGTGTTGTCACCGCCAGCTGCAGCGCGCACCCCGCGGCCACCCGGCCAGGCGACCTGGAGCGGCGCGGCGGCGCGGCGGCGCAACGAACCGGCACGCGGGGAAAACGGCCGGAAACTAAGCAGAATTTAGCGAGGGGGCACGACTTTTGGGGCTCAGCGCGGTCTCAGTGTTGAGGCACTGGAAAAGGAATACCATCTTCCTCGCACGTTCCAAGCGTCAAGCGTCAGACAAGAGGCGCTTCGAGCATTTTTCCAGGCTGAGAGCATTCATCCAAGCCGAGAGCATTTCGCAAAAGCCTAGACCATGCGCTGTGGTGTTTTTTTTTCGAAATTTCTTTTTACAGTGACCAGCGACAAAAACGTCCCCCTGGGGAGAAAGTGTACGGAATGGGAGTCCGTGGCTCGTGGCAAGGTCACGCCAAGGTCACGCCAAGGTCACGCCAAGGCCCCGGCATGGCGCCGCACCGCGACGGAGCGCCCCGCTGGCACGCCTGAGTGGCCCTATTTCACCCTTTTCTGAGTGACCACGCCGAAATATCCCGACCACTCTCCTGGCACAGTCACATTGCACGTGCGCCGACTGTGGGACCAGGAGCGGGAAAGGGGAAGGGAAAGGGAAAGGGGGGGGGGAGGTCCAGAAGAGTTCGCCGGCCGTCGGTCACCTCAAACTCTTATAGACAGGCGGTCACCGTTCGCTAACCCGTTCCCTTCCCCCGCGGCCCGAGAACGAATCGGTGGGGCACTGGACACGAGGCGGCGGGGGAGAGTGGGACGGAGAGAGAGAGTGGGGGGAGGGCGCGCTGGCCGGCACTTCATCATGCGGACGACGGCTATTTATCACAACAAGGGTTCCGGCCGCCCCCGCCCCGCCCCGCCCCCGCCCGCCACGGCAGCAACAGCAGAAACACACACAGAGCGAACGCTGGGCGCCAAGCGGAGTGACTCGGAATCAATTCGAGGCACCAGACGCTGCGCCGACCTCGCGGTGACGACGGTAGAGTCGAAAAAGAGAGAGAGAGAGAGAGAGAGAGAGAGAGAGAGAGAGAGAGAGAGAGAGAGAGAGAGAGGAAGGGAAAAACGCCGAATCGGAGGACGCTCGCAGAGTGGCGCTGGAAGCGAAGGGGCGGAAACAGTGGGGTGTGTGCCAGCCAGCCAGGCAGGCAGGCAGGCAGGCAGACCACAGCAAATTATATCACGCCCACGGGACTGGGCTACCGCTGCAGCCGCCTGGCCGAGGCTGCCGAGGCTGCTGGGGCTGCTGAGGCGACTGCAAGCTGCAGGGGACCACAGTGAAACGCCTCCACGCCCGCCCGTCGGGTTCAATCACCCTCGACCCTCGCGAGCGCCAAATTAAAATTAGCGTTCGTTTGTCGCGCGCCACTTTTTTTTTCGACCCTTTCATATTTTTTGAGCCCATTTCCTCCCCACTTTTTCTTGTATTTTTCAGTCGGTCTGACTGCCGTAGCCAACAATACACGGCGTGGCGGTAAACGGCTAGACCTTCCCCCTCCCTGCCGCCCCTTGCCTCACCGCGAGCACGGCGTGGCGTGGCAGGGCGTGGCAGGGCGTGGCGGGCGTGGCGCGGCAGGGCGGGGCGCGGCGTGGCGCGGCGTGGCACGGCGCCACGCGTCATGGAATTAATGAGAGGTGTTGCGCTGGTGGCGCCGCCTGCCGGCCGGGACGCTCCACGCCAAATTTCCTTATTAGGCGCGTGGCGCGGCCAGCCCGCCGCGCTCTATGATACTCGATACGGACGGCGGCCACCGCGCAACGCAGGGCCGGATTTAGTGCCGAGGTTGGCGACCCTGTCTGCTTTGGGCGGGGCGGGGGGGGGCGGGGCGGGGCGGGGCGGGGCGGGGTGCCCGCCTATCTGTTACGACTCGCCCACTAATTAGCATGCACAGCGAGAGTACACTCCATGCCAGAACCGCAAATGAGAATTGGCGCGACACGGCGGTGGCGGAAAGAGGGGGGAGGGGGGCAGAGAAAAAACGCGGGGCAAAGCGGATGCACACTGCGGGTTGGTTCCAGGCTGTTCCGGGAGGTTCCAGTGTAGCAGCGAGGCGTCGGGGCGGCCCAGTACCGGGCAGTACCCGCACTGGATAGATCGCGCTAATTTTTCCGCGGACGCGCCCCGGGACAAGAGAGGGCCGCACGCATGCCAAGAGAGGAGAGAGAGAGAGAGAGAGAGAGAGAGAGAGAGAGAGAGAGAGAGAGAGAGAGATGGGGAGGGGGCGTACAGTGGGCAGTGCGGGCTCGGCGCGCAAAACGAGCGGGGCAAATTTAGCTGTTTGCATGAGTGTGCTGCTTGGCTTAATTCTCCACACATGACACTGGCCTGGCCGGCGCGGCCGTTTAGATAGAGGGGCGGCCGGACTCGGACTCTGCTTTCGATGCATCGACACACTGCGATAGTGTCGATAGTGGGGCCGCGGGGGAAGGGGGGGGGCACGCAGTTAGTGTCGTTTTCAAAAGCACGGCATCGTTTGCAAAGGGATTGGCCGGAAGGGAGGACGGACTCGACGCTCGCTCCTCGCAACACAGAAACGGAGAGAGAGAGTGAGAGAGAGAGAGTGAGAGAGAGAGTGAGAGAGAGAGAGAGAGAGAGAGAGAGAGAGAGAGAGAGAGAAAGAGGAGTCGGCGCTTGTCGAGAGGGCTTAAAGCAGCAGCCGTCGTAGGACTCCGTGCTCCACCCGTACCGCTAGGCTTATGGCCTCTCGTGTGAGCACGCCCGAGTTGACGTTCATTGGAGTGGCGCAAGAAGAAAAAGAAGGAGAAGAAGAAGGAGGAGAAGAAGGAGGCAGTGTGCGAGAGAGGACACAGCCACAGAAGTAGGCAAAGTGCCGCTGTGCCACGACGGGTGCCATGCGGGTTTGCCTCGACACTTCATGGCAGAGAGAGGGGCAGAGAATTGTTTGCGCCATGTGCAAAGTGTGTTACCGCCACCAGCACGGGTGGATGTATTGGTAATTGGTGCGGGCGGATACGTAGGTTAATTGACTAATTGCATCCGAGCGGAATGCCCTGAAAATGAACTCTGCTGGGGTATGGACTTCCAGAGCATAACAGCACGGCAAGCACAGTCGCAGAGGCTCGTTTTGTTCGGTTACTTCCCTCCTCCCCCCCTCCCCCTCTTTCTTTCTCTCTCTCTCTCTCTTCTCTCTCTCTCTCTCTCTCTCTCTCTCTCTCTCTCTCTCACGGCAAGGTGCCCAAGGTGGCGACGATAAGCGAGACGGCTGCATTGTGCGTTTTCATCATCATTCTTCTGGAAGAAAAGGGACAACTGGGAATGAAGGGCATGGAAAGGGGAAGAGTGAGAGAGAGACACAGAGAGAGAGAGAGAGAGGAGAGAGAGAGAGAGAGAGAGAGAGAGAGGGAAAAGAAGAATAGTGTTTCTGCGGATCGAAGCCGCAAGCCGCGCGACAGTGGAGGGGCTCGTCTCGTCACCATGCATGCCGTCTGCGCGTCTGCGGCAGAAGGCGAGGCCCGGATTGGCGCGACGGTGCGCGCAGACCGCGATCGAAAGAAGTTCCTTGCTGTCGAACTTGAAGAGCGACGCCCGAAAGCAAGTTTGCCAACCTTTGAGTTGTAGAAATATGTTTAGTTTTCACTATTTTTAACGCCCCTGAGCCCAAAACATCACACGTAAACAGCCCAGTCACATGGAGCATATCTGGAGCGTGTGTCGCAAGGACTCCGAAATTTGTATACTCGTCAACAGCAGCGCTGCCGCCCCGCTCGGTAAGCGATTGCTCGCAGCTTGTCCGAGACAGAGTCATCTCGGCGACAAGACGCTCGTGCACCCTTCTGGTCGGAATGGGCCCACCCCGCGCCGCCCCGCCACGCCCCACCCCGCCTGCCCAAACTGGGGGAGGCCAGGGAATTCGCATACTGGACACATCAAGTGAAGCTCCCTCGCAGTGACGCGGGGCGTCCTGCAGGACTCTTCTGAAGCTGGCATACCATTACTGATGCCGGCCTTTGTCGACAAAGAGGTCCTGGCCGGCGACCGCTCGGGGTCCTGGGGGTCCTGGGGCTCTATCCTGGGGGTCCCCGGGTCTCTTCCTCGTCATCGTGGTGAGCACCAGGACAATGATATTTTCTCTCTTTTTTCCTCCTTTCCCCCGCCGTCCGTTTTGATGGGAGGGCCTGTCAGCGCCAGCTCACAGGGAAGTCGTCGGACGGACTGAGAGTTTTAGGCGGATTTGGGGGGAATTTGCTGCCAGTGTTGGGGGGAAAGCTTATTGACGCCCAGACAAATATACCGAGGGTGCAAACCATTTCTGGAGCAGCCCGCACGCACGCGTCGAGGGGTCGGACGAGGAGGGAAGGTGCGAGAGGGAGAGGAAAGAAGAAGCTGCGACGGAAGAAGAGGCTGCAAGAGAGGGCGAGGAGGAGACAGACAATCGAAAGGATTAATTAAAAACGGATACAGTAATGATATCGACGCCATATTTTTTTCCAGCAGTCTGCCCGGCCGAAGCGTTTCCAGTGGAGCGGGGGTAATTAGCGAACATGATGAACCGGCAGGTGAAGCATGCCTCAGAATAATGACGTGAGATGGAGTGCCAGTGCACCGTGGGTTTCCATCACGTGTGAACTGGCGGGCCGGCCGCGCCCCACCGCGCCCCGCCACGCCTCGGCAGCCTGGACCAGACCGCGCCAATGGGATCCCTTCCGCTTCATCTAACACCCCCTCCCCCTGCCCGCCCCTGTCCGCCGCCCCGGCGAAGGGTTTCGTATTCCACATCCTCAGAGACCATCCCCGCGGCCTCTCCCGCCTCCTCCGGCGCCTCGCCTGCCCCGCCGCCTCGCCAGACTCACCCGCACCGGACCGGCCAAACTCGCCGATCAATATTCTGCCCCCGTGATTCAATCCACGGATTTGCTTTTCACGCGCCACGCCATTTTGCCTCGCCTTTCCCGGTGCACCTCGCTGTCCAGGTGGTTGTCCAGGTGACTGTCCAGGTGGTTGTGGTTGTCCAGGTGGCTGTCCAAGTGGCTGTCCAAGTGGCTGTCCAGGTGGTTGTCCAGGTGACTGTCCAGGTGGTTGTGGTTGTCCAGGTGGCTGTCCAAGTGGCTGTCCAAGTGGCTGTCCAGGTGGTTGTCCAGGTGACTGTCCAGGTGGTTGTGGTTGTCCAGGTGGCTGTCCAAGTGGCTGTCCAAGTGGCTGTCCAGGTGGTTGTCCAGGTGACTGTCCAGGTGGTTGTGGTTGTCCAGGTGGCTGTCCAAGTGGCTGTCCAAGTGGCTGTCCAGGTGGTTGTCCAGGTGACTGTCCAGGTGGTTGTGGTTGTCCAGGTGGCTGTCCAAGTGGCTGTCCAAGTGGCTGTCCAGGTGGTTGTCCAGGTGGTTGTCCAGGTGGTTGTCCAGGAGGCTGTGATCCACTTTGCAGGTGGTTCTCCAGGAGGCTGTCCAGGTGGCCGTCGCAGCGACCTCCGTCTGCCCGAGGGGGGACTGAATTGCGGGGCTCGAGTCACAGGGGAGTGGGTTAGCAAATCAGGGGCCACAGGCTGGACTCCAGGTCCTCCAGGCACGCAAAGTGACGGCCGCGCCGCGGGGCAGGGACAGCCACTCCTTAGCACTCCTTGGACAGACGGTCCGAGGACAGCGGCGGGACAGGACCGCTGTCCGCAGCTTTTTTATATGGATAATGCAGCAGCCGCGTGTCCTGCATCGGCACTGAGTGCACCCCATTCCGGCGGCTTGATCTGGACCATATTTCCCGGATGGCCCTCCCTCGCGGTCCGCGGCGCGATGTGACGTCAGACATCGACGGAATGAGTGACGCCGCCAATGGGGTGAAACCGGGTGAAACGGAACCGCGCTGTAGTAATTCGGAATAATTTATGCCGGGCGGGAGGTTTCTTCCCGCCACCCAGCCTCAAAGAAGGGTGGGCGGATTTGGTAAAAAGGGGAAGAAAAAAAAAGTATTTCGTGTCGGAAATGCGTACAAAGTGTGTAGAGCCCGGTTATCCCCTGCTCGTGCCTGTCACACCCCCTTTTTTAAAAGCAACAAATCCCAAGTCCACCCTTTCCTTTCTGCCCAGGGCAGGCCCAGGGTTCAGAGCCCTCTGTCGAACCCGCTGAATACATGCAGTAGCTGTGGCGGCTGGGCGGGGAAGGAGGCAGGCCGGACCAGGCTGCGTGGGAATCGGTAGAGTGGCCCGCGGCGCGGTGCGGCGCGGGGCCGGGGCTGGGCTAAGCCAAGAGCTGCATCTGAGGCAATCCAATGTCGTCCCAGCCTACCCTGGCATGCCCCCGCCCCACACTTTGTATCATTTTCGAAAGCCTTTCCTTCTGGCCCACTGAAAAGTGTGGTCTTGTAACACCCAGAAAAACGTCGAAAATTTCTCTAGGGCCACACTTTGGGCCAAGGGGTCCAAAAGTTACAATTTAAAAAAATTGAATTTTTTCACAACAGAACGCAGTACAGCAATTTTGTATAGGTGTTGAAAATGTGTGTTTTCGTAGCTTGCCAACGTGACTGAAGAATTTACAAACAAGCTAGTTGCTGAGTTGTTCGCACACCCTTTCTCTTCGTGGCTCCTACTTTCGGTGAGTGTAAGTTTGTACCGTATGCTGGGTCTCTCACCATGGAGTGTGTCTGTGTGTGTCTGTGCGCCTGAATGTGGGTGTGTTTCCCTTATTCTCTCAGACGAGGACGGCGGATGGGGAAGGGTCTCGTCTGATGCATCCTGTTTTCTGGACCGTTTACCAGCCGCCTCGCCCGCCCCGCCCGTCTCTGAGAATGTGCGAGCGGACGCGCCCCGCCCGAGGGGGAAGGGGGCAGGCATGGCGTTAGTAAATTCGCCATCTCAATAGCGAATGCAGCACAGCGGCCGGACGGTGTACAATCAAACGGAATGCTTTGTGTGCGCCATGCAGCGGCGTGCAGCGGCAGGCACTAGGTGGGCACGTCGGCCCCGCCCCAGTGGCGTGACACGACTTTCGGAATGACGCTTCTTGTCTAATTTCGACGTGGAAGGGTTACTGGCACGCTGGCTAGGGTTCCGTGCCACAGTGGGCCAGAGAAGACCGGCGCAGGCGGACAAAACTCTAGACGCGTTTTGAGCTCCAGTCGCTAAAGAGGCCTCGAACCGAACGTGTGACCCCACCAATGGAGTCCTCGTTCGGGGAGCAATTTATTGGTGGGGTCACACGTTCGGTCGAGTGCCATTTAGCGACTCTGGAGCTCAAAACACGCGTAGCGTTTTGCCCGCCTGCGCCGATTTTCTGGCCCACTGTGCACGCAGGCTCGCAGGCCGCAGGCCACGCTGACACAGCAGCCCAACTCTACGACCCGTTGAAGGGTATGCTGCAGCGAACTGCTAGTGCAGGTGCGACCCGTTGCCCTGCAAAGGGCCCAGCCGGAAGGGTCGGAGGGACGGCCCATCTGTTATTGTTCCATGCACAGAGATGAATGGCTAATTAAGTGGCATGATCAGCCGGCTTCCCTCCGACGCGGGCCGGAGGGTTTACTGGGTCCGAGTGGATCCCAAAACTCGCACCCCCAAAGCGCTTAGGGGCGTGTGTGTTTTCGACGCTTCCAACGCGCACACATCTGGCGGAACAAAATGGGAAGCACCCAACCCGCTGCTAAAACGCGCTCTCCGGAGTATCACCAGCGCCGCGTCTGCAAAATGCAAAGGGGAATTTGGCCGGTTGCTAGCATAGTCCAAAGACGCAGTACTACTCACGAAACGGGCGCTGCTTTTCTCCAGCGGGTATCAACAAAAGTCGAAGGGACGATCAGCGTCAGGACGCAGGAAAGGGAAAGTAGTCCGGAAATAGTGGCGGTGACCGTCGTCGACGGGGTGGTCCCTGGGGCGGGTGGGTCACTGCGAGGCTCAGACAATCGCGCACCGCGGTCGGATTGAATGCGTGGCCCAGGAATGCCGTCCCGTCCCGACGTCCGGTCCAGACGAATAAGGGAGGGGAAGGTGGGAGCGAGTGGCAGTAAAGCGACTGCGCGGCGCAGGCGGCACAGTGGGCCAGAAGACCGGTGGAGGCGGACACGCGTTTTAAGCTCCAGAGTGGCTGAATGGGGCTCGAACCAAACGTGTGACCCCACCAATAGACTGCTCTCCGAACGAAGAATCCATTGATGAGGTCACACGTTCGATTCGAGTTCTGTTCAACGACTCTAGAGCTCAAAACGCGTCTGGAGTTTCGGCCGCCTCCACCGGTCTTCTGGCCCACTGTGCGGCACGGCCAGGCCCCAGGCCATCCGTATTAACGCACGGCTTGCGGTCCGGCCCGGCCGTCCTGGCGGCCGTTAGGCCCCAGACCCCATAGCGCCGTGGATCTGACACTCCGCACCGGACCTGCCCCACACTGTAGGGGACAATGCGGGCTGGAAAAAAAAGGCCGGGATGCATGGAGGTAAGCAGGGGATGGGGAGATACAAGTGGGATAAAGGGGGAGTGTGAAACGGGTTTAGAGCGGGAATCCGCAGCGGCGTAGCGGAGGGGGAGGGGGGGGGGATGCCGAGCGGCCTGCGGAGTAATTACAATGTGTTTGTAGTTTGCGCGCCTTTCTCCACACACTGCCGTGCTGCCGCGCTGCCGTGCTGTTGTCTCAATCCAGTGTTTATTCCCACTTTGCATCTCGGGGCTGCCCCTCCCCCCCCCCTCTTTCCCTCCGGGCTTGCCCTTTTGTCGGCAAAACTCCCGGGGCCGCGTAGCCCCGACCTAATCCACACTCAATGGAGCTGTTTGAGGAGAGCGGCCAGTGTGATCGTTTTGCTTCGTCGTTTTGGCCGGGCAAACATCCGTACCGATTCCCGGTACACACACACACACACGCACACACACAGGCGAGAGAGAAGGGTAAACGGGTCTGTCATGGTCAGGGCAGGGATTGTGACTGCCTCGATGAGAACACACAAACACCCTGAGCGATACGCGAAATGGGCGGAATTGATTGAAATTGCACTCCACACACACACACGCACACTTCCATCCCAATGGCTGCTGTCGAAACTGACCTCCGGTTCTTTGTGCAGCGCGCTCCGGTGACCGTCCGCGCCTTGCAGCGAGCGCTTCCGCAGCCGCGGATGTTCGAACAGGAAGAAGTTGGGCAGCGTCCCGATCTGAAACGAAAAACACACGCAACGTTAGTGAGGTCCTCAGGCTGCGCGATTTTTCATAGGGCGCGGCTAATGTGGAGCATTACTGGGGCTAATTTCTTAATCTTATCGATTATGGAGCAGAGGAGGGCTCGGCCCCTCTGCGGCCACCTGGTCCCCCGGAAAAGGAGGAAAAAAGGGAACAGCGTGGTGGATCCCCCCCTCTCTCTCTCTCTCTCTCTCTCTCTCTCTCTCTCTCTCTCTCTCTCTCTCTCTCTCTCTCTCTCTCTCTCTCCCTGGGACGGCACCTCCATAATAAAATCTTAATCCCCATAGATTAAGCCACGAGGTAAAGCCATGGTAGTCAATTACGGCGCGGGCTGCAAGCCACGGCACCGCAAAGGCACACCAAGTGCGGTGTGGTGAATCCGGCGGCCAGAGCAGCGTCGTCTGCAGGAGTCGTCGCACAGTGGGCCAGAAGACCGGTGGGGGGGGGGGGCAAAACCCTAGACGCGTTTTGAGCTCTAGAGTCGCTAAACATGCCTCGAACCGAACGTGTGACCCCACCAATAGGTTCCTCGTTCGAAGAGCAATCCATTGGTGGGGTCAACACGCGTTCGGTTCGAGTCCCATTCAGCGACTCTGGAGCTCAAAACGCGCCTAGAGTTTTGGCCGCCTCCACCGGTCTTCTGACCCACTGTGCGCTGGCGGCGCTGGCATGGCGCACACGTCCAGGCGCCCCTCCAGTTTTGATTGTCTCCGGGAGGGTCGCCGAGACCGGTCGAGACTCCGGGGCGTGACATGTTTCATGAATCGAGTCGCTGACCGCATCGGCCGGCTTCGGGCCGGGCGACGGCGCCATGGCCAGGCGCAGACCGGGCGACTGCACCTGCACTGTGAGGCAGTGCAGTGTCGCCGAGTTGGCTGAAAGTCCCGCCATGTGTGAATTCCTTTGCGAAATGCAGCCCTTGTTCCGGAGGAGGTGCCGGGAGGTCGGTAACCCTTCGGTGCTTCGACTGGTGGCAACACTGTCTCGTCAAAGTGGCGTGGAACTGGGTCGGGGTATTCGTGGGCGTGGAGTCGCTGTATCTAACTAGCCGGCGAGCTGGCCTTGCGAGCCGGCCTCACTGGGTTCGACTCCCCGCCCCGCCCCTCCCCTCGGCCCTCAGAGGGCAAGGGATCTGCGGACCGATTCCGAGAAGCGTCGCGCTGTCTCTCTCGCACCGACACGGGGCGCCCGCCAGTGCGAGAGAGACGGACGGAGAGAATCAGGCGGCTGGAGGGAAAGGGATAAAAAGGGTACGGAAGGGCGAGGCATCATTACTGGGCCCCTAATTACCTCGCAGAGACGGAAGCAGCGCGTCATTCGCCACCCCACTGCCCCCCCCCCCTCCACCGCGCAAAAGTACCGCGCAACTACCAAATTCCCTGACTTATCTGATCCTCGCGGGGAGAAAGAAATTTGTCCAGACCGCGAGAGGGCATGGCGTGGCCGAGCCGTTGGCGGTGAATCTAGCGTCGTGGTATGCGGATGCAAACTGCGAGGGGCGAGTCGAGGGGGGGGGGAGTGCGGTCTGCTCGGATGTTTGCCCTACTTCCAGTGCTTCTAGCGCTCCCAGCGCTTCCACCACGCCGGGTAATGAATGGTGACCCTTCTTCTCTGTCTCTCACTTTGCTTATTCCCTTTTGCTTCTCTTTCCACGCCTCCCCCCCCCTCTCTCCCTCTCTCGCTTTCTCTCTCTCCCTCTCTCTCTCTCTCTCTCGTTCTTATTTGGCGGCGTCGTAATAGAAGCGCCGTCTCGTCGCGAACAAAAAAAGGCGATTTTCGGAATGGGAACAGTGTAGCGTCCGGCCGGCGAAAAGCCCTCGCCGTTGTCACAGACCGGCCCGGCCCCTCTTCACACCCACAGTCAAACACGCACACACGCGCGCGCGCACACACACACACATGAGTGGCAACAATTACTCGACCCGGGCCGCTAAGTGCGGGCTACCCTCCGGCTTCTCTCATACTGTCCATCGTGAGAGTCACAGTCTGCCCAGTGTCGCAGAAGGACGTCCTAACCATTGTCCAATTGGTTGCCTACGACCAACGCGGCACGTAAAAAGTGGCGCAATTTGACTGTTTTGAATTTTTCTACGCCCCAGCGCAGTGAAAAGGGGAAAGGAAAAAAACTGGGGGAACGACTAAGGTACGCCACGCGCGTCACGTCTGCTCGCAGGGCGAACAGGTTAGTAAGACATGTTGTTGGCGCGGCGTGGCGCGGCGCGGTGGCCTCCGACACATATGTTGGGCGTCACCCCCCACCCCCACACCCACCCCCACCGCAGGAAGCGCGGTGGTGTATGATGGCGGCGGGGGTCGAACGGACGCGAACCGAGTGCAGAGAAAAAAATGTGACTGCTTTCCGATAGCCTGTTATTTATAAATAACACAGGACGCATCCCGCTCGCCGCGCCCCACCCCAAAACCCACCCGCCGGCCCACCCTTTCGGCCGGCCTTCAGCATCCTCCCCCCCCCACCCTTTTTTCCACTTATCAGCTGTTCATTGAGCGGCAGTTGCAGTGCAGTAACATCACACCCCCAAACTTTGCAGCGTGCCGTACAGCGCGCCAACTTTGTTCTCAGTTCGGTTCGTCTTTTTTTTATTACCACTTTTTTTTCCCTCTCAAAGTTAAAAAGGTAAATAACGCGAGAAAAATAGAGATTACTTTCCGGCGTAGGGCGCTTCCGAGCCGCGCGCTTCACGGCAGCGATTTAATCGCTTCATCGTAGAGGGCCAGGCTTGTTTTGGGCAAACTCGTACGAGACAAGGAGTGCACTGAAAAAAATAAATATCTTCAGAGGAACGCGAAAATTCAGCCACTAAGCTGCTCAGCCGCCTGCCCTTTTAACGCACGCCATTGCCTCAGAGAGAGGGACGCCCACAGCCAGTGAATCTTGTCATCTTGAATTATTTGGAAAATATTCGTCTTTGCATTCATCTGTAGTGTCAGTTTAATTTTTTAAAACATCGCAAAGAGTTTTTTTGGGGTGGTGGTAAACAGTTCATGAATGAACCTCCCAGTCAGCCAACAGAACTGCCACTTGATTCACAATCAATTTTTCAATGCTTCAATCATTCAACGTAACGCTTTTGAGAGAGAGAGAGAGGGGGCAGAGCACACAGCAGGCAACAACACGGACATGATGACGTGACTGTAGCATCCGTTTAGGCCTGCCTCCTTCACTCCGAGGCTGTCTTAAGACTCGCGGAGGGAAATTAACACGCATGGACTCGCAGGGGCCGGGCCTCGGGCAGGGCTTCGGGCTCATAGTGATTGATGTACAGTCCCTGGGGTGCAGGGCTGGGGCTAACGAGGGAGAGAGGGAGGGGGCGTATCCAACCCAAGGAAGAAGGTAGGACGATTTTCGTGCCCACACTAGCGTTTATTCAGTTTGAGCGTCCTAATGCTCGCCAGCCCTGTTCGGTCTGCTGAGCTTCGAAGCTGCCAAATTGTGCCTGCTCTCGGGGGTAAATCAGTTTCCTCTAGGTGTTTTAAACGAAGGAAAGGGGAATTTCGGAAGGGAGGACTAGCGCGAGCTTTTGCGATTCTGCTTCGAAATTTGTACGAAAATTTTCGAAAGCACATGGCCACGTCCAAAATTGTACAAGTACATTGACAGTGGCCAGTCAGTCACTAGACAGACAGGCACGCCCACACACAGACAGACATGCAGACAGACAGGCGGATGGGAGAGCTCTGGTGATTCATGACATAATGTCGACAGGTTGAGCGATCCGTAAGGCGGCGCCGCGTTAAGCTTGGCGCGGTGTGTTGGTTGGTATGTCGATGCAGGGCGGAAGAGAGAGAGAGCGAGAGGGAGAGAGAGAGTGTGTGCGAGAGGAATGAAAAAGGGAGAAAAATGGAGGAAAAGAAAGAAAAGAGCTGGCAGATGCATGGCGCGGCGTTGTAGATAAACAGACTTCTCCCCCGGACGGATGACACACAACTTGCAGAAGAGCGCGGCTGGAACTAGAGCTGCCACTACACTCGAAAAGGGAAGGGCAGGTGGAACCGCTGGGCCTGGCAGGGTAACGGCGGCTGTTCGAAAGGAACCACAGGGAGGAACTGCGGAGGCGGCGGCAGGGGGCCGGATTGAAAAATAGAAATATGGATGGACTCGACTTCAGGTCGCGAAGAAAAGACCGTAGCGTTGCGGCATCGCTCAAGTTGCCACCTGTCGTCAGGTTTTCTTGCACACTCACGCACACAGACTCACACTCACACACAGCCCCCGTCCTCGGCGCCCTCCCCCTCCTCTCCGAGCAAGGCGTGCGAGGCGCGAGGCGCCGGGGCTTCGAAACGCCCACATTAAGGAGACATCTGATACGCCAGTGCAGCATCAGTCAGGCTGTGTGTGCGAGCGCCAAGCGGACGGGCAGACAGACAGACAGACAGACTTGGCGAAAGGCTTTTCCTGGGCCCTGCAGACAACGACAACAAAAACATGGCGCATTAGCGCGTGGCCACGCCGTTTCCCGCCAAAAGGCAGCCTCCTGATTGGCCAGGGCCGGCCGGGGTCGGCGGCCGAGGCTAGTCGGCCGTGCGGCGAGTGGGCGGTGAGGCGCCGCGGGCGAGGCGTCTGTCGGGGCTCTCGAACGAGCTCTCGAACGAGCTCTCGAACAAGAGGGGACATGCAGAAGCGGGGCCAATATCTCGGCGTGCCGGGCAGGCAGGCTGGCAGGCATCGGGGGAGCCGCGTGCTTTTGTTTCTTTGCGAAAAAAAGAGGACCGCCACTCTCCCTCCTCACGCCTCGGCCTCCCCTCGCGACACCGCCCCGCCCCGCCCCGCCGCCCACACGTCCGTCGTCCCCTCGCAGCGGCGTCACGCAAGCCCAAGCAAGTGCCCCAAACGCCAGCAAATCCTCGGCCACAGTAAGGTGAAAACTAGTTAGAGGGACGAAGGAGAGAGAGAGAGAGAGAGAGAGAGAGAGAGAGAGAGAGAGAGAGAGAGAGAGAGAGAGAGAGAGAGAGAGAGAGAGAAACAGACAGACAGACAGAGAGACGAAGAGTCACTGTTACGTTTGGCCGCCAACAATAATTGAAACGTCCCACGCTCGTTGCGTAACAAGGACCACTGTATTGGCAAGCACCCCCTCCCCCTTCCCCTCTTTCTCTCTCTTTCTCCCTTTAGCACCGCGCTTCCGTGAGCTCAATAATAATAAGCCCGACAAAGAGGGATGGTAAAGAGTCGGGAGGGCGGCGCCCGAATGCTGGAGGAAGCCGCTGCCTTGCTTATTACGCACGCAAACACTCGTCCCACGTACGGACACACACGTACACACACACACACGCACAGAAAGAGAGAAGGAGAGAGTTTCTTAGGTTTGCTCCATCAAGTATCAAGGCGTGAGCGGAAATTGTAATGAAGTGAGCACAAAACAAGCAATAGGCACACACAATAAAGGGAACGCGCTGACACACACACACACACACCACACACACACACACACACACACATCCTCACTCTCTCCCTCGCACACATTTATACGGTGCCGCAATGTTGAACGACACAAAACGGGCTTTTGCGCGCGCAGCGCGGAAAAACAGAAGGCTGTTTCTAATTAGGTAAGTTTGTTGCTTTCTGGCGTGTCAGCAAGCCAGTCATGCAGCTGTCTGCCTGCCCTGTCTTCCGGCACGGCGCGGCACGGCGCGGCACCGTAAAGCTCATTAAAAGTGGCGCCACCCCGAGCAGCCAGGCAGCAGCCAGGCAGCAGCGTGTCAGAAAGACGCCATCGGTGCATACTTTCATCTGACCCCGTTCCTGCGATTTACTTGCGCTAATTGGCAACAAAAAATATGTACAGTGTGGATTCCGCGGTGGCGGGGCTCGAGAGGCCAAAGCTAGCCGTCCTCGACATCAGTTCCGCGAGCCGCGTCCGACGACTCTCCAC